TCACGAGCAGCTGTCCACAGACAGGTGACATCCTCTTGTCTAGCTGGAACCCACTTGAAGACACATGTCTTCTCAGGCAGCTGGCCTCTAGGCGCACACACTGTACTCTTTTGTTTTCTGACACATGTGCATGTACATCTCACCCCATGTGTATTTCTGTCTTTATAGAGGTGTGGGGTGTGGCAATGGGAAGTACAGACAGGGACCTAAGTGTGAGTCCTTGGGTAGAAGGAAGTAGAGTGGGGCTGTGTGCTTTGTGGAGATGTGAATGAATCAAGAGTATGTGTTTATTCTTGTCCTTCTGTCTGAGTCTGATAACCTCTTTGCTTTGTTGGGGTGGGGCCAGGATTGCAGCTCAAGACTACATCGTTGGGGCCTTTCGGAAGTTTGCAACAGACAGTAGCTGCCATGTGACACTGGTCATTCATCCCCGGAAGGAGGATGATGATAAAGAACTACAGACAGCATCCATTTTTGGCTCAGCCAAAGTAAGTGTCCCTTAGAGGAGCCCAAACTTTGGAAAGTACAGGGGGCAGGTGTGACCAGAGGTAGCCCTCTGTCAGTTTTAAATCATCTTGACTGTCCATCTGGAAGAGACAGCTGGGGCCATGACATGAGGAATACATAGTCTGATAATAGCTGGTCCTTTGCCCTCCTTACCCTCCAGGAGCTCACATCCTCCGGTGGGGAAAACAGTGAGACAGTGATTACAAATGGGTATGATGAAAGTTATAATAGGCAGCACAGGTATTTGGGGAGCAAAGAGAAAAGACATCTATCTGAGTCAGCCTGTGACATCTGGGGAGACTTCCTAGAAAAGGTGTCAGCGAAGGTTGGGTTGAATTTTGGCTGACAGTAGGTGTTAAATAATCAAAGAACGGGAAGGCCATCTGAGCAGCAGGACCAGCCTGATCCTAGAGCTTCCCGTGGTACACTGAGTGCATTACTTGCCGGGCCTGGGCTGGGCACAGGGAATACAGGGCGAGGAGCACAAACTATGTGCCACCATGGAACAAACATGAAGCTGGGGAAGAGAAGAACAAAGAAGTGGAAAGATGGTGGTGCCTTCTTTATTTATGGGGATCAAGAATGGTCTCTCTAGTGAAGTATGACATTTATAGACCAAGACCTCAATGATAAGAAGCTGGGGTTGAGTAGGGTGGTGAGATGTGGAGGAGAAGTGTTACAAGCAGAGGGAACAGCAGGTACAAAATCTGGGACAGCAGCAAGGTTGTCATGGAACTGAAAGCTCAAGTGGCCTCAGCATCATGGTCAATAGTTCAAAGAGCTTTGATGAAGAGGGGAAAGTACTTTCCTTTCCTCATTCTTGCCACTTCTCCCTGCACCTTCAACCTTTCTTTCTGCTCCTCTCATATGTCTTCTCACTGCTCCTTTGTCCTCTGTCCCTCAGGCAAGCCAGGAAGCAGACAATGTTCTGATCCTGCAGGACAGGAAGCTGGTAACTGGACCAGGGAAACGGTATCTACAAGTGTCCAAGAACCGCTTTGATGGAGACGTAGGTGTCTTCCCACTTGAGTTCAACAAGAGCTCTCTAACTTTCTCCATACCACCAAAGAGCAAGGCCCGGCTCAAGAAGATCAAGGATGACAATGGGTTAGTGGTCAAAAAGCCCTCTTCTGGCAAAAAGGGCGCTGTGTCCCAGAAATCTGAGACTTACTCGGGCAAGGCCCCCAACCCCTACCAGCCAGACCCCTCTAAGCCTTCAAGGTGAAGGCAATACAGAGCTGGATGCTGGAACAAGCCTGACAGGACAGGATGGGGCATAGACTATTGGCCCTTTTTATAGGGCTGCCTCTGTCCTGTGGTCCTGAGCTATGGGCCCTTCCCTTCCTAGTCTGAGGGACCTAGCCTAGGGCAGGGTCCCATAGTAAGAGAATTCAGTTTAGCAAATATTTGAGAACCTACTGTGTGCCAGGCTTTGTTCTAGGTCCTGGGAATATAGCACTGACAAGACAGATGAGGTCCCTGCTTCCATGGAACTTACAATCTGGTGTGGGGACAAGATAAGCTAATGAACAAATAAATATAAAACATAATTTTAGATAGTAGAAAATGCTATTTGAAAAATAAAACAGTAATGGGATAGTGCTTACAGGCTAGTTTAGATTACGGTCTGGAAAGTTGTCTCTGAGCAGAGGACATTTGAGCTGGGGCCTAAAGAACTAGTATTGAGCCATGTGAACATGTGGAAAAAGAGGGATCCAGGCAGAAGGAAAAGTAAATACAGAGGCCCTGAGGTGGGAATGAGCAAGTTGCGTTCAAAGTAGTGGGGTCAGGCCCCCTGAACCTGGAGAAGAGGAGGGGACTTCTTGCCAAAATTCCAGCATAGACTTTCAGAGCTGAAGGGTGACATGGTAGGTACCAAATTCCTCTGCTCCACTCTGGAGCCTGCTATGTGGTGGCACTCACTACCATTGGAACCTAGGTGCTTGGTCCTGTGATATGAGGGCCCCCAAGGTGGAAGCTTGGCCAAAGAGCCATGGAAGGAAACTGAACCCAGAGTGCCTGCCACCTGGACACATTGTATGGTGTGCTGCCTCAGACCACTGGAGTGGATGCTGTCATATAACTTTTTGTAGAGCCTTTTCAAGTTTTACTAAAAAAAAAAAAAAATCCATTGCTTTTGTTTCTGTGCTGTTTCTTACTTGTCCACCAGGTGTCCCCCCCAGTCTATAACTGGATTTTCCTCTTTGAATTGGGAGTGGATGGGTCCCCTCCCCCACCGCTAGGCTGAGCTGCACGCCCCAAGGAAGCAAGAGCATTAAAGGGCCTTCACATGCACACACCCTTACACCTCTTCTTGGCCTGGGGAAGACACGATGGTGTCTCTTTATCCCTGTTTTCCCTGAGGAGCTCCATGTGATCCCTGGCAGAGGTGTGGGTCACCGGGCCACTTACCTAGGCTCTGCCTGATGAGCTGTCCCTCTGTGATATGAGCCACTCACTGACCTCTCTCAATGTGGACTCAAGCTCAGTATATTCTTACCTGGCCTCCGTCCACTTCCCTCCTCCTTGTACCTTCTCAGTGTTTCTCTTATATTAGTATGTGTCAGAACTCCTAGGACTTTTGTTTAAAAAAGTAGAACATAGGCCCAACTTACCCCAATCCTCACTGATTTCTAATTCTGGAGGTTCAAGGAGAGGCATAGGATTCCTTGTTTTTTAACAAGCCCTGAGGGAGATGGGAAAAGAAGTTACCCGGAGACCCTGTCAGATACATTCCTAAATGGTGAAACTCATCTCACTTCCTCTGATATCATAAAATCCCAGTTTCCCTTTAGATTTGCCTGCAAAAGTGGTAAGAATGCAAGAGGGGCCTGGAGAGAAGCCTTATGTAAGGGTGGGGGTTGGTTCCCTGCTCCCTGGAAGCAAGGCTGCCTTATCAAGGTCTCCCTGTCAACTTAAGAGGGGGCTTCTAGGACCCTGTAGAAGGGTCTGGGGTCTCTGGTCTTTCATGTGTGAGAATTGTGGCTACAACTGGCTCCTGAAACAGACCTGGAGCAAAGCTGTTTAGGGGGAGAACCTGGGGGAAGGGAAAGGAGAGCTCCTGGAGGGCCTCCCTTCTTGGGGGTCTCTTCCAGACTGGCTGGAGCCAGGCCTCCTAATCCCGCAATAATCATTCCCAGCCGCTGGCTGGTCTAGGCCTCATCCAAGGTCTGTAACACTGAACGTCAGTCATGCCTTCCAGATGCACACCACTAGGTCAGTCCTACTTATAAAGATGTGGGTTCCACATTCTGGTCTCCCTAGAATGTTTTGTGTGTTCTCAGGAAATCCTTTAGGGGTTTGCATTAGGGTAACTTTGTGAGGTTTCTGTGAATTGGGGATAGAGGGATAGATACACACTTGCCTGTTTGTCTTACCCCACCCTCCTAGCAGACATCCCCACACAACACAAACCAGAATGATGGGGGGGGGGGAGTTAATGCTCCCCCTGCCCCACGCCCTACACAAACACATTCCATTCCACACCTGTCTTAAACTACTCACATGGAGATGAGCCCAAAATGTGTGCAGGAGTCCCTGGAACCTAGAAAGCAATGGGGGATCCCTGGGTCCTGTGTAAGGGCCCTGGGAGCCACTGTCCCTGGACCCAGCCAAAGTGAATTAAAGCAAAGTACTGTACATATGTCCAACTGGATGTTGAGAATCTCCCTGAGAGCTCAGGAAGGGCCTGGCCAAGCAGGGTCCTGCTGGATCTCCAGCCCTGTCCTCAGATTCAGCCGTGAGGGCTGCTTTGGTCCTCCAGCAGCTTCTTGACTGCGGATGGGTTTGAGAAGGAACTAACCTCACTGAACTGCTGCTGCCCAAGTACTCAGACTGTAAATACGGCCCAGATACCTGTAGACATCATATGCTGCCTGGGGTGCCATGGAGGGAGGGAGGAAGCCCTAGGTGCCTCCCTGCAATACCGGCCTACTTCCTGTTTGTGCCTGTGGGTGGAACTTTATGAGTCTAAGGGAAGCCAGGCCATGCTCTGTGGGGGGCCAGAACTGGCAGGTCTTCTCACCTGGCAGGCACTCCAGGGGAGAGTGAGGTGCTGGTTCTGCTTGGGCAGCCCCAACCCAAGGTGTGGGGGCACACGATGGGGAGGGAGAGAAGGAGGGGACAGCGGGGCGGGTCTGTTTTGGTGAAACCTGAGCCTTCTTTGTCTCCTTCCCAGGGGTTTTCCCTATGTCTGCGGAATGGGCTGAGAGTGGACCAGGTTTGGCTCCCCCCAGAGCAGGGGCAGTGGCTGAAAAAGCCTTATAGCCAGCTTGGTTAGGGCAGCCAGGTAGATAGCTTAACTCTCGGTCACGTGCCACTCCCCCCTTACCCAGATCGAAAGCCAAATCCTGTAAGTGGTGAAGTCAGAGACCAGAGGGCAGCCTCGGGTCACCGTGGAGCTACTGCTGGGCTTGGTACTGGGTTAGCTGTTTGAGTGGGTGCTGAGCAGACCACTCCCTTCCCTTGGTCGGGGGCGCGGCCTCAGCGGCCCCGCCCCTCTCCACCAGGCCGGGCCTGGCGGGCGCCGGGAGTCCGGAGCCCGGAGCGGGCCTTGGAGCGGGAGGATCTGTGGCGAGGAGGTGCCCGCACTGGAGCAGGAGGACCCAGGCAGGAGCTGGAGCGGCGGCGCAGGTGGCGCTGGGTGAGTGGTGGGGGCTTAAAAGTGTAGGAACTCCCGTCTCTCGCACAACTCTGCTCGGGATTAAACTTTGCGGTCTGGCGAAGCTGGGGGTTAGGATGAGGAGGGGGTCCCTGAACTGGGAACCGACACGGAAATTCACACCGACGGGCCCACCCATGCGTGCACACACACCCACTCACGCACTTGGGACAAGAACACACGTGCACTCAGGAAAGGACGGCGCGCCCAGTGAGTTACTCTTGCAGCTGGAGCAGCGCCACTGGCTGGCGGAGACCCCCAGCGGGCAAGGCGCTTGACGGGGGTGGGAGAAAAGGGCAAACAGGGGCGGGGCGAGTGAGACACCTCGGACTGTTCCTGCTTCCCTGCCGCCCGCAGGTGAGGACTAATGCAAACGGACGCTGAGCGCGGGATCGCTTCTCAGACAGGTGGGCTGTGCTTCCCCACCCCGGCATCAAGGCGAGGACCTCCCTCCCTAGTCCAGGGCGAGTTTGCAAGGTCCCACGCGGGCTGTATTCCATTCTCCGCCTCGAGAGGTGATAAGCCCTCCCCTAGAAATGGAAGCACAACGCCCCCTGGAGTCAGGGTAGCACAGGAGGACCAGAGACTGTTGGACTGGGGTGGGGTTACTTGGGCTCCTCGCCTTCCTTCTCCCGAACACATTCGTAGTGGCCCCATCCCTGGAGGTATCAGAGGGGGGCGCTATTCTTGATAGCAGTCGACGGCAGCCCTTGCCCCATACCTCCGGCCTGAGGAGCAGCTAGTTACCTGAGCGCCTGTCGGTCCCTTTGCTATTACTACCCTTCCTTACAAAACTGGGAGCTCCTCCCCCGAAGGTAGGATCAGAAAACGCACTCATGCAAGAATGGGAGTCCCCCACCCCCAGAGAATGCAGGAGCATAAACCTCTCAGTACTAGAGTGGGCCTATCCCCCTCCGCTAGAAAGGGGGACGAACCCCCATCTCCTCATCCCATCCCCCTTATGAGGGAGTCGGCCTCCCTCCCCGCCCCACCCCCCCCTTCTGCGCGCGCACACACACACACACACACACACACACACACACACGCTGAGCCCAGCTGCTGCCTGAGCTTCTGGGCAGTTTGCCAGAGAGGGGAGGAGGCTTCTAGTGCCCCAGGAGGCTGGGATCAGGGCAAGGCCAGAGGAGGGGTTCTCTACTGGAGAGAGGGGCTCCGTCTGTTCTTGTGAGGCTGGAGGTTTGAAACGGGGTGAGCCTGAGGGTGGCTGGGCTATGTTTCCCTTTCCAGGGAGAAAGAAAGAAAAACAACCCTTTCCATAGAGCTAAAAATAGAGCTGAGAGCCGGCCAGGGCTGTGGCCTGGAAGGGGGGGGGATGCTTCTTCCCTGGGCGGAGGAGCTCTGGCAGGCCTGGGCGAGGGATGGGGGGCGGGTGGCTGTCCTTGCCCAGGGATGCCCCATCAGCCGACCTGACCAGGTCACATACACCCCCACGGAAAGTCTGTATGGTAATAGAATGTTTGAGCAATATGTGTATGTGTAAAAAGTTGTGTGTGAATAAGACTGTCAATGTGTGAAACATGCTTAGACTGTGTGTTTAAAATTGTGACCGGGTGTGAAGGACTGCGAGTTGTGAAAGTGCACAACTAGGCGTGTGACACCGAGTGTGTCTCTGTAAGTTGTTGGCTTGAAAGATAGAAAGAAGCAACATGGAACCACGTGATGGATGAGACTGTGGCTGTTGTGAGACTGAATGTGGGAAAGGTCGTGTGGGTGTTAAGGATGTGTTGTTTGCCAGAGGGTGAGAATATTCGTGTCCCTGAGAAGACTGGAATGTTGTCTGCTGTGAGGCTGGCGTAGGTTTGGACTGTAAGTTTGGGCCGGTTCACCCCAGTGATTGTTGAGGGGCCAAGGGGCTTCCTCTTTGAGCAATATCCTCTCTTAGCAAAGGATTCTGAGGAAAGGCTGGGGTGCACAGAGCCGCGCCTGGAACAGCCCTGGACTCGCGGAGGAGTGGGATACAGTGCTGGGGAGTCCGGTAGCGCCCCCCACCCCTCGAGGTCGGGGCTTGGCGGAGTCGGGGGGGAGGGGGTAACTGGGTGTGTTCTCCGAATGCGCCGCCAGGTGGCGCCGCCTCTGCAAATCCAAGTGTGCCGCCTCCACGACGCTGGGGGTGGGGCAAGCACGGACCGAACCTCGGCCCCTGACGTATGCTGGGGTGTGAGGGCCCGGGATGCCGGGTAGAGTGAGTGGCAGCTGACCTTCGGCATCCCACTCTGGACTCCGAAGCGGGAGAGTGCCTGGGAGGGAGGCTTCAACTAGAAGAGCAGAGGGGGTAGGGCGGCCGCCACGGCGCCAGGCCCTTTGTGCTCCAACAATGACCAGCCGCCACTGGCCCCGGAGCCCCGGTTGGAGTAGAGGGTGACCTGCTGCCGCTGCCGAGTCCTGAGCCGACCGAACCCCCAGACACACAGCCACCCGACCTGGGAGGGAGGGACCCTGAGTCCGGCTGTGCAGTGCCAGCGTGCGCCCGGCGGGACACGCGTGACGCGGGGTGCTTGCGCGTGGCCGCGCCCCGGGGGCGGGGACGCCCCTGGGACCCCTCCCCCAAGCTGCACCGCCCACTCCGGCCGGGCGGGGTCCGCCCCGCTGGGGGCGCCGCGGAGGCGGGGCCGGGTCCCTCCGGGCCGCTCCGAGTGGCCGAGCGGGCTGGAGCCGGGCGGCTCGCCGGTGGAGCGCGGGGGGCGGCCCGGGGCTGAGCATGGAGCAGCGCGGTGGAGGTGAGGGGGGCCGGGGCGGGGAGGCGACCTGGGGGTGTCCCCAACTTCTGCGCGGCGGAGCGCCACTGGGGAGGTGGCATTACACACTTTATGCCCCCCACTTTATGGAAGCGGCGGTGGGGGGGCGGGGGGCTCCCTGTCTCGGAATGAGAATTCGTGACCCCAGACTCTAGCCCTCTTGACTGGTCCTTGGAATTTGGTGAGGGGAGACTTTCCCCAACTCTTAGCCCCTAAAACAGATCTGTGGGACCTCGGACCTTGGCCAGACCTCTCTCGGGCCCTGGCTGAACTCCGCCCTCGGCTCCCCCCAGCCCCTAAGGTGGGGTGTGCTGTGCCATAGGGGTCACTCAAGGAGTGCTGGGGAGATCGGGGGTTCCCTTTCCCACAGCCACAGACGCATTTCTCAAAATGGAGCCTTCACTTGCCCCTCCTTCTCTCTCAGGCTCCAAGAGCGGGAGCGGGGCTGGCTGGGCCTGGCTTTCCAGGCGCCTGGCTCTGGCTCCTTGGATGTCCGGTTCGAAGAGCCCAGTTTTATTCCTTTTCTGGGTTTAGGGGTCCCTTGGCTCCGTGGGGTTGAGGGCCGCCTGCTCACTTGGTCTGCCTGTCTTCTTGTCTGCCTGACCCTGGGGCCTCTGAGTCTTTGTCTCTTGTCTTTTGGGTCCCTGTCTCTCTCAGCCTTTCTGTCTCCTCCCCTCTGTTTTCACTTTCTCTGTGCTCACTGAAGTGGGGAAATGCAGACAGAGGTGCCAGACCCCACTGCCCCCAAAAAAGCCCCTTCCCCACTGTTGTCTGCATGTCCTGAAATGGTCTGGGAGAGGGCAGAGGAGGGGGTTTTCCATCCGCTTTTCTCAGGACTGGCACTTGTGGGGTGGACACTGCTTACCCCCACCCCCAGCTTCCAGTTCCGCCTTCCTCAATCTGTACATCTTTCTGGGTCCGAGGGTCTTTTGACTTGAGTGGGGAGGTTGGGGGAGGACTTAATGGAACACAAGCATGAAAGAAGGAGAGCAGATTAGGCAAAGGAGCCAGATAATGTTTCTCCACTCCTACACTCCAGTGAGTGACAAAAACCAAGCTTCCACTCTCCCAGTTAGCCCTACATGCCACCCAGGCTCCCAGCCCCTCTCACACATGCTCCTATTCATACACACTCTTTGATACACACTTGTGCACACTCACTTGCCTGTTCACACATTCACGTAAGATACATGTGAGTTCACACCTAAAGTTGAGTATGTGAATGGCCATCTATCCAAACATACGCTCATATAGTCACAAGTCATACACCACAAATCCACTTATTATATATGCATTTGTAACTTTCACATACTTTTTGAGAGTGACTCCCTAATTTACACACATACTCATGTAAGATATGCACATCTGAATTCACACATATACTCATGTATATATGAATTTGTCCAAACATATCTACTCATACTCATTCATGATGTTTTCACACACATTTTCATATGTACAGTGCTTATTTTCATGCTCCTTTGCACATAGTCTCACACACACAAATAAGTAAACGCATACACTCCTGCTCCTACGCAATTCTCTGTCCACTTCTTGGCCCCCGCTCTGCATGATGACTTCAGCAGATGCCTGAGTCCTGGTCTTCAGCTTCAGGATGGAGGAGGAGGGAGTTCCGGGTGGAGACTTTCCATCCCCTTACAGGAAGGAGCTGGGCCTGGGGAGGTGGAGTCCTCTTTCCTGGGCTCCAGGGAAGTGAGATCTTGGAGCAGCTGCATGAGGTGATGGTGGGGCTTCTACCCTCATCCCCTCTGGGTCACACTGGGGAACATCTAAAGCTGGAAGTTTTCATAGAGGTTGGCTGTGGGCCTGTGTAGGCTCTTTTAGGCCCAACTGATTGGGTGTGGTGAAGCTAGTTGTCATGGCAACAAGCATGAGCCTACATCCACCTCTGAGAGGCAGGAGACCCGAGAGGGTACCTGTGAGCTCCCTAAGATCTTTGGGCTTCTTGTTTGGCTAGCTCCACCCTTGCCGCCTCTCTGTCTGGGAGAAACTGAGGCCCAGCTGGGGGAGACTGGGCACTGCCTGGCCTTGGCTCTTTGTTCCTTAATTACCATCTGAGTTGCTGACTGCATCCCTGAGGTTGCCTCTGCCCAAACTGCCCTCTAATGAAACCACTTGTCTCAGGAGACCTGAGACCTCAGCTGAGAGCCGGTTGTGAAGGCTCCCTCCCCAACTTCAGTCCTGGCCTCTGTGGGGGATGCAGGTTTAGACTGAGGCCTGGGCCTCTGCTCCTAAGGACCCTGCATAACCACTAGGCCTCCTCTCCCGTCCCCTTATCATCCTGCTAGATAGACTCAGCCCTCAGCTGTGTTCAGACCCACGCTAGGCAGTGGTATGGGGCCCAGGGAGAACTGAGGTTTGTGACACTTACTTGGAGGGGAGACTTGAGGGGGCATCAGAGATTGTTATTGATGTCAGAGGGCTATTTTACCTGGGACCAGGGGTCAGGAGAGGGACTTGGCCTTGTATAGGGAGGGGGCTCAGGGAGGAGGGACTCTGACATCACTGCCCTGCTCACAGGTTCCTCCGGAGGCCCTTGGCCAGGCCTGAGCCTCTACCGCCATGGCCATTGTGCAGACTCTGCCAGTGCCACTGGAGCCCACTCCTGAGGCCACCACTGCCCCACAAGCTCCAGCCATGGGCAGTGTGAGCAGCCTCATCTCAGGCCGGCCCTGCCCCGGGGGGCCGGCTCCTTCCCGCCACCATGGCCCCCCTGGACCGACCTTCTTCCGCCAGCAGGATGGGCTACTGCGGGGTGGCTATGAGGCACAGGAACCGCTGTGCCCAGCTGTGCCCCCCAGGAAGGCCGTCCCTGGCACCACCTTCACCTACATCAATGAGGACTTCCGAACAGAGTCACCCCCCAGCCCCAGCAGTGACATTGAGGATGCCCGAGAGCAGCGGGCACGCAATGCCCATCTCCGTGGCCCCCCACCAAAGCTCATCCCGGTCTCCGGAAAGCTGGAGAAGGTGAGGAATCAGGAGTCCCCTGGAGCAGCTGGAGGAATTTGGAGGCCGACTCAGAGGAAAGAGTGTGGGCCCCAGATTCACCAGAACTGGGTTCTAATCCCAGCTCTGCCTCTGTCTATATGACCTCAAGGAAGTCACTTAACCTTCCTAAGCCTCAGTTTCTGTATCTGTGAAGTGGAGTTAATAGGTCAGCTCTCATAGGATTGTTACGAGAATTAAATAATATAGTAGGTAAAGTGCTTAGCCTAGTGCCTGACACATACTATGTACTGAATAATGTTAGCTGCTTGATAATACTGCTATTACATAACAGCGATGTGTTTGACCTTGAGCAAGGCCTTTAACTCTGCTGGGCCTCCATTTTCTCATCTGTAATATGGGGATAGTGATAATATTTTGCTCCTATGGCTGTTATAATGATTAGAGATAAACCTTTTAAATTACTTGACATAAAGCTGACACCCATGAGGCCCTCAGCCACTGGTAGCAATTATATTAATATTTGGGGATGGGAGACCCCAGCTGGGAGGGCCCAGAGTATGATAAGGGCTTTGAAAGATTGGGTAGCTCATCCTCAGTGTCATGGCACCTCATTTCAGAACATGGAGAAAATCCTGATTCGCCCAACAGCCTTCAAGCCAGTGCTGCCCAAACCTCGAGGGGCGCCATCTCTCCCCAGCTTCCTGGGTCCTCGGGCCACCGGACTGTCCGGGAGCCAGGGCAGCCTAACACAGCTGTTTGGGGGCCCTGCATCGTCCTCTTCTTCCTCTTCCTCCTCGGCTGCCGACAAACCCCTGGCACTGAGTGGCTGGGCCAGTGGCTGCCCATCAGGGACGCTGTCTGACTCTGGCCGAAACTCACTGTCCAGCCTGCCCACTTATAGCACCGGGGGTGCTGAACCAGCCACCAACTCCCCAGGCGGGCACCTGCCTTCCCATGGCCCTGGACGGGGGGCACTGCCGGGGCCAGCCCGAGGGGCCCCTGCTGGGCCCTCCCACTCGGACAGTGGTCGATCTTCCTCCAGCAAGAGCACAGGCTCCCTGGGGGGCCGCGTGGCTGGGGGGCTCCTGGCTAGTGGTCCTCGGGCATCCCCTGACAGCAGCTCCTGTGGGGAGCGCTCCCCACCACCGCCCCCACCCCCTCCACCCCCTTCGGATGAGGCGCTGCTGCACTGTGTTCTGGAAGGGAAGCTCCGAGACCGTGAGGCAGAACTACAGCAGCTGCGGGACAGTCTGGAGGACAGCGAGGCAGCCATGTGCCAGGTGTGGTCAGTGGCAATAATGGGGGTGGCATCGCAGGACATCCAAAGGTGCTGGGAATGCAAGGAGCATTTCTGTTTGTTCCGGGGTTGGGGAACAGGTGGTAGGCAGTTGCACTTGTGACCCCACCCCAACCCCAGCTGTCTGGCTTAACTGTAGAGTGGTAAGGACTCAAACCCAGCACTGCCATATACTGTTTTTCGGACTTGAGCAAGTTACTTATTCATACTGAGCCTCAGTTTCCTCTTCTATGAATGGGGGTGTTTCTGGCCCCTTATAGTTATGAGGGTTAAATAAGGCAAAGGGTGTAAAGTGCTTAGAATAATGCCTGGCACCTAGGAAGTGCTACATAAGGGCTTGCTATTATTCCTGTTGTTTCTATTATCATAGAAGTAGTTGTTATTATTGCTATCTTCATTATTATCATTGACTAGTGGAATCTAGCCTCCCTGAGCCCAGACCAGTGGGCCACCAGAACAGTCAATGATTGGGGGCGGCCAGGGGTTGGGGTTTGGGGGAGCTGCCAGGACCCAGGTCTCCCTTCTTGCCCACAGGCGTACGAGGAACGGCAGCGGCACTTGCAGCGGGAGCGCGAGGCCCTACGAGAAGATGGTATAGCCCAGGCGCAGCGGGCACAGCGTGCCCAACAGCTGCTGCAGCTGCAGGTGTTCCAGCTGCAGCAGGAGAAGCGGCAGCTGCAGGATGACTTTGCTCAGCTGCTGCAGGAACGTGAACAGCTGGAACGGCGCTGCGCCACCTTCGAGCGGGAGCAGCGGGAGCTCGGGCCACGGCTGGAGGAGACCAAGTGGGAGGTGGGTCCTGCAGGGACAAGCCCAGGAAAGAGGGGCCCAGTCACACCCCCTGAGCCTGCCTGTTCCTTACCTCTGTGAGATAAGGATCCCCCTCTGAGCTCCCTTTCTGGGTGGGGGCCTTCTTGTGCCTCCATGTTTGCTCTCCTCATTGGTATGGTCTAATGCCCATAGACAGTGGCATTCCCACCCACTGCCTTCCAGCCAGTAATACTGTAGTGCTTGCTGTGTGCCAGGTACCATTCTAAGCATGTTGCATAGACTATCATCTAGTCCTCATAACAGCCCTATGAGGTGAGTACTGTTAATATCCCCATTTTAGAGATGTGGAAACAAACCCAGAAAGGCTGGAGCCCAAAATCACACCTAGTCTGTGGCAGAGCTGAGATTTGAACCCTGGCAGTCTGGCTTCTTGTTCTACACTTTTAACCAAAATAGTATAGTGCCTCTCAACTGGAAATGTGGACACTGTTGTCAGTTGCCCCTACTCCTGCAAAACCTGCCACCGTCTAGGCCATAGGGCTCTGCAGTGCTTCGTGATGGCTTAAAGCACCCACTTTGAAGGAGAAAGATCTGAGTCTATTTCACTTTAACCAATGACTAGCTATACAACCTTTGACATGTTACAAGGCTCGCCTCAGTGTCTCCACGTGTAAATTGGGTATAATGATCTTACCTCCTCTCAGCAGAATGTACAGCATGATGTCAAGGCCTGACCCCCAGGGAGAACCCTTCTCACCATCTTTCCAACTCCCTCCCACCCCCAGGTGTGCCAGAAGTCAGGCGAGATCTCCCTGCTGAAGCAGCAACTGAAGGAGTCTCAGGCAGAGCTGGTGCAGAAGGGCAGTGAGCTGGTGGCCCTGCGGGTGGCTCTGCGGGAGGCCCGGGCAGCGCTTCGGGTCAGTGAGGGCCGGGCACGGGGCCTCCAGGAGGCGGCCCGAGCACGAGAGCTGGAGCTGGAGGCCTGTTCCCAGGAGCTACAGCGGCACCGCCAGGAGGCTGAGCGGTTGCGCGAGAAAGCTGGGCAGTTGGACACCGAGGCGGCTGGACTCCGGGAACCCCCTGTGCCACCTGCCGCTGCTGACCCGTTCCTCCTGGCAGAGAGTGATGAAGCTAAGGCACAGCGAGCGGCAGCCGGGGTTGGGGGCAGCCTGCGGGCTCAGGTGGAGCGGCTGAGGGCCGAGCTACAGCGGGAGCGGCAGAAGGGCGAGGAGCAGAGGGACAGCTTTGAGGGGGAGCGGCTGGCCTGGCAGGCAGAAAAGGAGCAGGTGATCCGCTACCAGAAGCAGCTGCAGCACAACTACATCCAGATGTACCGGCGGAACCGGCAGCTGGAGCAGGAGCTACAGCAGCTCAGTTTGGAGCTCGAGGCCCGGGAGCTTGCTGACCTGGGCCTGGCTGAGCCAGCCCCCTGCATCTGCCTGGAGGAGATCACTGCTACCGAAATCTAGGGCCCTGGGCATCCCAGCTCTGCAGGGAGCTCTACTGAAGGGGAAAAGTCGCCTCAGGTCTGCTGAGGGCCCCAGAGCCACTCATCCCCTGGGATCCAGGCCTCTGGGCCTCTGCCAAGAACGCAGGGCTGCCCTATGACTTGGATGAGCAAGATCAGACCCCTTGGAGGTCCCCATGTTCACCATCACCCAGAGGCTCCTACTCACTCAACCTGTTTCACTCCCCACCTGCTGCCAGTGCCACTCTGCCAACCCCATTCACCCCAGACACTCACCAGCTCACTCATCCAGGGGGCTGGAGAGAGGAAGGGACTCCCTCAATTCCACACTCTCCCCTGCCCCAAAGCCAGAGAGAGCCAGACAGTGCCAGCTGCTCCAGATGTGCCTGCCCCCACCCTGCCCATGCTGGGGGACAGAGCTGGGACTAGGGCCTGATCCCCAGCTTCCAGCTCTGCAGCCTCTCTCCTGGGGTGAGGGGGCTATAGTTAGACCAAAGGAAGAACTCAGAAATGTCTTGTTTATTTGTGTTTGTGACCAAGGGGCCCCTCCCCACACCCAGATTTTATGGCCTCGTTTTTCACTTGTATATTTTTCACACTGTAAATTTCTTGTACAAACCCAAAGAAAAAATTTAAAAAAAAAAATTTTTTTTAAAAGGTTACTGTGCTGGATAAAGCTTATGGGAGCTTGTTTAACCCCCACCCCCTCTTTATTTGCTGGCTATTCCCCTACCCCTCATAGAGGTCTTAAGGGGAGAAAAGGTGATGGGGGAATGACAAATCCAGTAGAAAGTCTGAGGTCCCAGTGGACCACAAAGTGAAATGGTCTCTCAGAGTCTGAGAAACTAGAAAAGCCTTCCACCTGTTCTTTGCACAGAACACTGCTGGGGGCTTGATGCAATGACTATCTGAGAGTCCATGTCCCTCAGTGCTTGGGAATATCAAAGCGGGCATCGTGAGAAAGTTCCCACCAATCCAAAGCTCCAGACCTTGGGTTTCTCAACCCCCTTCCTATCTTGGAAGGTTGGGGGCAGTGAGCGGGTGACACAGGCTGCCTAGTAGCACCTTGTCCTTGACACCAAGTTTGTCTGGAAAGCGCGGAGCCTTAGTAACAACTGGGGAAGGAAGAAAGCAGGGAGATCTGAGTCACCGGTGTGGAGCTTTGGGTATAGGCAAGGCAAGCAGGAATGGGGGGTTCCTGAGTCCAGAGGAGGTTAGTAGGCGAGGTCTGGGAGACCAGGAGTACTCGGGGGTCAGTGGGAGGATCTGAGGTCAGTAGGAAGACTCATGGGGTAGGTGGGCAGAATCTGGGGTTTGTTTCAGGAATCTGGAGGGTTGGAGAGAGGATTGGGCTGGGGGTCACCTGGAGGAGCCTGGAATCAGTGGGAGGGATCTGGGTATTGGTCAGAAGGACATTAATAGTAGGGTCCGGGAGCCAGGCGGAGGGAAACGGACTACCATCATGGGGTCAGCGGGCAGGGGAATTGTCAGCAGGAAGGCACCTATCGGTGAGGTCTGATGAGTCAGAGGGTAAGGGTGGTGGGCTGGGCCCAGGGACCCTGACCACAAGCTCCATGGGCTCCCGAGCCTTGTTTCGATAAGCCCTGCGGATGGTGTCCACTGCTCGCTGGTGAGTCACCTGCTCCAGGCTCTCTCCATCCACTGCTACAAGCTCGAAGCCAGCCTGGGATGGGAGTGGGAGAATCACAGCCCTCCCTCTTCAGGTCACTTCCACCCCAGCATCCAACTTCTCACCTCCACCAGCTAGGACACTCCTCCCTATCTGGGTGAGGGGATGGACAATGGGACTTTTGTGCCTGGAGCTGGTGGGGGCTGGGTGGGGCACAGACAATGGCCCTTTGTCCCTTGGGACTAGGGGTAGAACAGGATGGGCTGCCCTCAGGCCCAGGCTGGCATGAGGGGGCAGATTTTTCCTTTGGCCTGCTCATTCTGCAGGCCTGACCACCCCTCTCCACCACTCCCCCACCCCCAACAACCTGGTCTAAACATGCCTGGCTGGCAGATAAGCGTGTACCAGTCCACCCCCGCCAGAATCAGCTCTGGGCCAAGAAGTACCTGAGTGCGTTTCACCCACCTGCAGGGCCCCACTGAGGAAGGCAGCCCCCCCAGGGAAGATCTTCTCTATCTTCACCATGGGCTGCACCTTGGACTCAATGCCCCCTGAAATGCTGATGCCTAGTGAGAGAAACATGGGAGGTGAGAGTGCACCATACCCCTAAAACCCAGAGCTCCCAGGACAGACCCAGAACCCCATTCCCAAATCCGGGGCCCCCAACTTCTTCCAAACCCCAATTCTATTACTCTCAACCCTCAACTCCAAAATCCTCTAGATCCCAAAGCCCCCAAATCTAGACCCACCAACTATACCTCAATACCCAATTTCTGTAACTAGGCCCAGGCCCCCTAATCACATCCCCAAACCAAACCCACCAAACTTATCCAAACCCAAGAGCACCCCTGCCAGGCCCAATCCCACCTGGACTCACCCAAGGACTGTTTCATCTTGGACAGCGTGACTGTCCTCAGCTCCCCACTAGGGGCCTTCGTGGCTGCCTCCTCGGCTGTCCTGGCAGTTCTGTTCTCAGAGGGCCCCTGACTGGCCCCCACCTTAGCTGCCTGCCCATCCACAGGTCGTGGCAGAGGGGGCCTGGCCTTCCGAGGCTTATGGTAGCGTCCATTGGTTGTGCTGGGGTTGGGGATAGGTGCAGGGGATGGGGAACGCCTGCGTCCAGGGGACTTGCCTCGGCCCCGGCTGCGGCTGCGACTGCGGCTCTGGGCAGGGCCCTGGCTCTGGCTCTGGCGAGGGTCCTCTCGTGTCAGGGGCTCTGTCAGCAGCCAGTTAGGCCTTGGGGGCCGGGGAGCAACAGGGGGTGGCTGGGGAGGGGGTGTGCAGGCGCTTCGGCGTGGAGCGAAGGCATCGACTGGCACGTCTTGGAGAGGGGGGATCCCTTTATGAGGGTGATGGGGGGCAGAGGCACCCAGGGAGACTTGGAGGTCCCCCAGCCGTTCCCTCAGCTCCCCATCATCTTCCTCCTCTGAGAAGCCATTCAGAGGCAGCAGGTAGAAGCCTCCACGGCTGTCTGGGGAAGAGGGCCAAGGTCAGGCTGCCTCCTCCTCACTAGCCCAGGCGCCAGTCCTTGCCTTTGTCCTTGGACCTAGGGGACCCAGGCCTGGGTTTGCTCAGGCCCTACAGCAGCATTCCCCACAGGGAGCGACACTGCCCCTGTTCCATTGAAATAGTATTTTAATATTTTCTATTGTAATAGTTATAGTTTTATTTTAATGTATCTAAGACAAAATATGACTCACACACCTAACTGGTAATTTCTGGGAGATTATTGCATAGAAGGAGGCTAGATTTAAAAAGCGAGTGGGTTTAAAACCAATTATTAGGTAAATAATAGTGGTGAATGGATGTGACAGAAATTGTTCTGGTGGACGAAAGCTTTCCTTCAGGGAACCACACATACTTCTGAAACCACAATACCCCACGTGGGGGAGGGACAAAAGGCCTGTTTTCCCTTCCCCAATCTCCCAGGGGTGTGCCCCCTCCCCAGGCTCTGGGACTCTGACTGACCGGGCACAGGAGTGATGAGGTGACGCTTGGGTGGTGTGTCCTGCCGGGATGGTCGCAAAGCAGGAGGCCGTACTGGTTTAAGAGGAGAATAGGTCAGAGGCAGGGCCCCATTGCCAGGCTCCCTGATGGACACAGCTGAAGTGGCTCAGGCAATCTCTGCCCCCTCTCCACGGGGAGATGCCACCCCTATCCCCACCTGGGGCTCAGGATCCACAAGCCCTGCCCCTGCAGCTGCTGACCTGCCCGGCTCTTGAGGGCTTCAAAAGCTTCCAGCTCTACAGGCATCACCATGCTGTCAAAGCGGCCCAGGTCCGTGGGGGCCACCACACTCCTGGGGAAGGGCAAGAGATGGGTTGGGCAGGGGCTTCAGCCCTGGAGAGGTTGGGGAAGGTATCAGGGGTCCCCTTCCTGCCTTCAAGCCCTATCCACAACCCCCTCCCCACCTGATGTCCCGCAGCAGCAGCAGCTTTGCGGGCTTGTCCAGAATGGCCAGCAGGGGCCTCACCAGGTCCTCCACACCGCCCTCATGCACATACTGCGGAGAGAAGCACCACAGGTCAGATAACAGCAGGGACTTCCTGAGCTGGTTGAGGGGTAATGCCTGGGCATGTAGGGCCCCTCCACGTTTAGGAAAGGCTCTCCCTATCCCCAGGCTGTCTACAGGATGTCTTATCTTGGTGACTAGGTAGAAGCCTGCAATAATAATAACAGACTTGTAACAGCAACAACAGCAATGACGGCTTTGGGACAGGCACTTTTCTAAGCCTTTTACACATGGTCTTTCATTTAGCAACCACCCTGAGAAATGACATTAATTATTCCTGTTTTGCAGATGAGGAAACTGAGGCTCAGAGCAAAGGACTTTGCCAAAGCCACACAGATAAGGAAGTGTGAAGAGGGACCGAAACCTGAGAAGTCTGGCTCTTGCCTGCTCTGGTACCGGAAAAGGATGTGCAGGGAGTGGACTTTCTTCCCCACCCCCATCTCCAAGCCGAAAGAAGGAATTTGAGCCAAACACTAGGCTGTGGCCCTGGGCGGCCCAGCATTTGTCTGCACACAGATCTACAAATTAGGCTTTGTTCAGGGCTGGAATGGGGACCTTGGGGAAGGGGTGGCCCTACAGAAAGCCTCTCCAGTCAGTACCCAGGGGGGTGGAGGCCCTTCTGCCTGGCACTGCCCGGATACTACCAGCCACACCCCACCTACGCAGACAAACGCAAACTGAACACTGGGAGCCACCCTGCTTGTACAGCATACCGCCCCCTGGTGGTGAGAAGGAGACATACTGATTTAAGGGCACAAACACAGAGCATCTTGTATGGGCATAGACTCGGGGAAACAGCATGCCCTGGTGGTCAGAGTGAGACATTCATAAATATCTGGAAATAGATAAACTGTGTGTGTGGTCTTAAACCACACACAAAGTTACAGGGACTCACACATACACATATCAACAATATACCTCTCTTGTCTGGAGTGTATAGAAATACTCACTAATGTGCATACACTTCAAGTCCATGAATTGGCATCAGCATCCACTAAGTGCAGTGGACTGGGCAGTGGGGGCACAGCGGTGCAGACCCTGTTTCAGATCTCCAGGAACTCAGTCTAGTGGGAACTAGGGGCACAGTGAGCCATGTGCCCCAATGAACTACAAACCACCAGCAATGGAGCAGGCAGCCTCTCAGAGGAAGGTGGGAAGATCAGAGTAGGCTTCACGGAAGCAGTGGCATTTACACGAACTCTTAAGGATAAATGCAGGCAGGGACCAGCATGAAAGCTGGGAGGAAAGTGTCCCAAGGGTGATGTGGAATAACTGGTAGATAGAAGTTTAACTTGACTGTGGGTTACAAGAAGGGCCTCCATGTAGGCTGCACAGGTTATGACGACCATGTGAGTAGTGCCCCCAGAGTTGTGCAATTCATAACCTGTATAAAATTATGTGCTGACCATGGGGAGATAATGATATGATGATGTGGTGACTATGAGGAAGCTGATGTTAGTGGGATGGGGAGTCAAATCAGGGAGGGCCTTGAATGTGAGGATAAGGAATTT